ATGTTGCTGTTTAGGAAAGCTGCCAGGGAAAAGGTGCTGTTAAAAAGAATAAATAGATACATTCCTTTGACATCATTGCTTCATTTTTTTCCAGCAAAAGCTGACACACTGTCTTTCTCTCATCAAACAAACTCTGCAAAGCTGGTGATCACATTGTCCTTGCCTATTCTTGTAGAACAGGGTTTTTCAAAAATGAGGACAGAAAAGCCTGTAGTGTGCAGTTCAACCCAGTACCTTTCGTATTCACCTCTTTGATAGCCGATTCAAGATATTCACTTAAAAATTTGAAGTATTTGCTCTCAATCCAGACTTGTTAAAATTTGATATGGTTATGGAAATCTTGATCTTCTTGAAAATGTCAGATTTCTGTTGGTTTGTTACTTGTGTGCAGTACTATTCTAAAAGATGAAGTTTAAGAGTTTTTAGGAGATATGGAGTTACATGAGAGTTGGTTTGTTGTTTTTCTGTTTGGGGAGAAATTATTCAGTAGAAATGCTTGTTTCTTATCAACCTCTGTTTAAACAAATTTCGAATTATATGATTTGACATGAGCTTCCTAACAAGTCAAAGCAGAATGAGATTTACGCTCTTTTTCACCAGAAACTATTTCATGCCCCAACAGAAATGGAAATGACTCTTCTTCTCAGAAACCTTCCAAGTTGAAGTGGGAGGAGATAATCTGTACGGAGATGTTACCTTCTCAAAAACAACCTCACATCATCCAAGGTGTGGTTGGCTTTGGCAGTTTACCAAGAGGAAACTTATTAGATTTCAAATCACCCACCAAGCCAAGCTACCCTGAAACAAAGCTTTGTTTAACTCTTGCATTCACCAGACGAACCCTGCCCCTATCCACAACTGCATCTTTGTTTAACGTGAATGACAGTATTATAAGACAGAGTTAAAACCTACGCCGGCATTCGAGCTGACATCCAGTATAAACAGATTTATGAACATGGACTGTAATGAGAGCCTGTTTACAATGGGGTATGAAATTCAAGTGTGATATAAGGAAGTGGTGGTTTCTTTTGACTAGCAGACTATGGTTAGAAGACTGCAGATTCAAGCTATATAGAGGAGCAATTGTAAAGGAGTACTGGTATCTTAGACTTATGTGGGTTTTTGTGTGTGCCAATCAAATATTCTGGTGCTAAAATAGACTACTTTCACATAGAGAGGTGACTGAAAACCGTAACTCTGAAATTTGAGAGAAAAATTGGCTTGCTCCTGCATTCCCAAATTGGAAAATGTATGTTAATAACTTAATTTTGATGATAAAAACATGAAAAATAAGTCCCTAAAACAGTGTCGAGTCAATTTTCTGATAAAGTAAATTTGTTTTCCCATTTGTGATTAAAATGACCTACAGTAAGATTTTTTTTTTTTGAACTAGGTGTTAATTAAAAATATGGAAATGGATTTAAAAAACATTGCAGTTCACAGTGGAAGAATTACCATAACTGATTTGTTCGCAGAGCCATGCCTGTTTTGAGATGTTTTTAAGATGTCTAAGTTACTGGTTGTTTTTCTGCATGATTGTTTCCAAAGCAAAATGTGATTCCAATAAAAACAGTAATTGAATTTACAGTCCGCAGGACAAATTGTTGTTTTAACAGAAACTTACACACTCAGGCAAAGACTTTATGTTTTAGGTCTAATAACAAAGAACACAAGTTCCCCATTTTTATGTGACTGTATATCCTGAAAAGTTTTCTAATGTAGCATATTTTTTAAAAAAAAATCTATATTGTAGTTTTTAAATTGTGTGAGCAATTTTTTTTTCCCTTTTAGCTCAGAATCAATATTCTTTAGGTTGTGGGTTTTTGCTTTGGTTTTTTTCTTTTTTTTAATGCAACCTTTTAAATGCTAGAGCAGCTTTTTCTGTAGCGTCAGCTAAGGGTGAATCAATACAGACAAACCTGTTCACATCTAATGCACCTGATGACTGAGAGGAGTTTAGAGGGAGCTTATTGCTTTGTCATTTGGCGGTGCGGGAACGCACAGAGTACGGGGCAGTTGTGTGAGGGGCTAGTCCGTGACCAGTCTTGCATGGAGAAAATGCTGGTTTCAGAGGAAATGGGTAGGAAGGGAAGGCTGTTCAAGAGTGTCAGCAGCCAAAGGCAGGAGGTGGGACCTCTGTTCAGGCAGTGATTATATATTACTGTATCTACAGCAAAAAATTGGGAGCAGGAGCTCCCAATACTTCTTGAACCCTTTTTGTGTCAAAGGTTTCTTTCAAAGTTTTCCTGGGTTTTTTGGGAATCTTCTCAGTGCCTTTCTCTCATGTATATTGTACCCACACTTAAATAAAGCTGACGACTGTGCTTATTGAATGAAGCGAAATCTGGTGGGGGACATGCAGCTCCTCACCTGCTCTAACGAGCGCATACACAGCGCGAGCCGTGCCAGAGGTACCTGCTGGAGAGAGGCATGTCTACCTTAGCACTTTTTGGCAGTCTTCAGGCTGACCTAAAGCCCTATGGAATGGTAATAGCTGACGAAACATCACTGCATCTCGGATGTAACACCTGGAAAAAACAGCCCAGGATGGTGCCAACAGTCATCTGACTTTTTGCCGTACATGCTCAAGGCTGCAGGAGGAACGTGTGGTGCTGTTAATCCCTGCTGAGTTTCTGCAGCTGTCCTTTGAATAAAACAGGGAATATTTCATATTTCCCAATGCCAGGCAAACCAGGGAGCCTGAGTCCCTGTACAGTCAGTGGGAGAGGTAACAGGCCGTGCTTGCCATGGACCAGGGCAGCTATATTAAGCAATTGTTAGGTTCTTAATTTATCTTACTTGCTCTGACTTTCCCCCAGGAGATGCAGTCGTCTTTGCGCTTAGTACAAGGAGGGGTTTAGGGGTTTGACAAAGCCCCTAAAGCAGGTGTGATGAATACCATCCCTCTAAGCAATTTCATTCTTATAGGCCATTTTATTGGCAAAGGCACATGCTCTCATGCAAATTGGTTTTCTGTAAGTATGAGACTGTAGCACGTCATTATAAAATGTGTGAAGCCTCCTCCCAGAAAGAGGGACCAAAATGCACCTGGCCAAATATTCTTTCAGACTTTTCTCATAATGGTTTTAGCATTCATGTCAGTTCTTTCCTGATTAAATGATTTGGAAAAAGAGATGCACAACAAGGAAATGTAAAGCTCTGGCTTGATATGGAATGTGCTACCAATATATTAGACTGACTGTTGTGCATCAAGTTCTACAGAACATACTTCTATGGTTTTCTAATGTCATCACATGACTAGCAAAAAACCACCCTTTAAAAAAAAAAAAATAGTCATAGATCCAGCAAGGTGGTTGCTGTGGGAAAGGCACTTGTTCATTATTGTTTGTAGAATTGCTTTACCAGCCAGAATAGGAACTGCCTGCTCTTTGCTTGTTTGATGGGTGCCCTTGAAGTGGAAAGGGGGGTGGCACTTTGAGTAGTCCTGACATGCAAGAGTTGCGCTTTCAGGTACTAAAAAAAAAGTAATCCTTCACCCTTCCCCACAATCTTTATACATTGTTTTTAAAAGGGTTTTGTTAACCTCAAACATTTAAAATGGTGAGACAGATCCCAAAAAGTCATGAGACCTGCTGGAAAATAATTGTTGTTTGGTTCCTTTTGCTTGCAGTCGTGTTTTTGAGCTTTCAAGATTTATGCTTTCAATCTTTCCTCTGCAACCATAAGAGCTAGACACTAACTTTATTTTTAAATGAAAGCTGAGATTCTCGTGTAATCCCATAAGTCTAGGAGATTTGGCAATGCTAAACACAATGTGAATTTAGAGTGACCATTCCAAGGTGAATCATTTAGTGGTGTCCTCAGCATGAAAGCCAACTGGGGATTTTTTTCTTTTTTTGGTTGTCTCTCATTTTGTCTTTCTAAATAATCTGTGAATTGGCAGTAATAATTGGAAGGTTGGTAAAAGCAGAAGTAGATGACTTCAGCCCAGTAAAATCAATATTACTTTTTTTTTTCCTGGTATTTTAGGATATTTTTACAGAATCTAGGTATTAAGGGCATTCTGCATTAAGATATCTCTAGAGAGGAAGGCTTTGGTTGTTTTTGTAGAAGCACCCTTTTCTACTCAGTCAAGCATTAAAATTGGCAGCAGTTCCTGGAGTAGCAAGAAAATCCTGGTTGTTGCCCTCATATAGTTACTGAAAACAGTAAGAGGATATGTAAAAGCTTTGACTCCAAGGAAAAATATTTATAACTGTGGCAGTGTGTTTCCTTACAATAATTCATGGGCAAATGTAGGAAAGGAGGAACACAAGCTATAAATAATATTCCATATGTAAACATAATGGCAGTAGAAAATTCTTTTTATTTAAAAATTAATATTGATGTTCATTAATATAAATTACCACATTTCAGATGACTCTGATGTCCTTGAGGCCAGATGTCACCGACTGATTTACAGCTTCCTGGGGGGGGAGGGCTAGATCCTGTTTTGTCAATGTAGGCACCAAATTGCTTCAAATAGCTATTTTGGACTAGATTAATTACTGACGTATTGTCAACAAAGCTGATTCGCATCTCAGCTCAGAAACATGAAAAACTCTCTTTAAAATGTATTAACTTGAATGTTGAAATGCAGGAAAAGGAGCATAAAGTATACCTTTGACTTGCTGAACTTTTGTCTCATTTAAGGAATGACGGTTTGAAAACGCCTGCCCAGGAACATGCACACAGAATTTCCACGTGCATCATTAGCGACTGGGGAACATACTTCAGAGGCCAAGTTTCGTCCCCCATTGTTCTTAACTCTACTTTAAATATGAATACAAATGTGTACAGTGAAGGCGTTCAGAAGGAAGCTCTGCCATCTTACACTGCACAGATCATAGATCTGGATTAAGTTTTCGAGTGCTTCGTAATTTCCTTCGGTCCTTTGGACCTTGTGTATAGCAGTGCTGCAAAACAGGATGGCAAGTGTGTTTGTAGAGCTACCAGAGGCCTCCCAGAAACCTCCCCTCCTGTGAGAACGCCAGTGGGCGATGCCTCAGAAGGCAGGTAGGGTGGATTTGTTGTGTTTGCATATGCTGGCAGGTTAAAGAAGGGGAAAAAAACCAAACAACCCAAAACAAAGGCAGGCTGATTTGAGTCAGCGTGAGACAGTGCATCTCTGTCCATTAGTTATTCATTCAAATTCAACCACATGAAATACAGGCAGCTAACAAACCATATCTTGTAAATGCTTTTTATTCCGGCAGCTGAAATTCAGCATATTTGTAGGTGTGCAGCTGGGGATGCTTAGCGTGAATGGCAAACTGACCTAAAGCCTGTCTGAAATATTTTGGTTCATGGCAGATCTCACGTGTGATCATCTGTAGGAGCAGAGTGTGTGGGTCTCTGGTAGCATAAGGTCCTGTGGCGTACAGTTGGAAACTACACAGATGAGACGAATGTAGAGAATAACACACAAAGAACACCCTTTTTAATGCATCTCTCATTCGTACAACATCAAATCCATATCCATCGGCAAGGCTTTGAAAGATGTTGCAAGGCTTTAGAAATGGTCCATGCTGAAGGTGGGATATTTTTTCCAATCCTTATAAATAATTATTTTCCTATGTTTGGTAAGATTAGCTACAGAGAATTTATGTTAAGGCTCTGTGGAGCAGCATACAGAATTTCAGATAATATTAAGCTGAAAAGGTGGTTTGAAAAAGTTTCTGTGATACAAAAGCCTTGTATCAAAGAGGCAAATACACCCACCCCCAGTCTCCTTTCTCATTTATGAAATGAATAAGCATAAACTATAAATTCCAATTTTCAGCAAGTCTGTTAGTAAATCCAAACCGACCTTGACCTTAGCTTTGCTAATTTCCAAACTCTGATATTTATTCCCCGAGTAGATTGTTTCCCTTCGTACCACATACATAAATACTGCAAACCTTTCCGATGACTTGAATTAGAGTGTAAGTAAATAGCTGGTTTTAATCTACATAATATTTTGAGAGCAGACGTTCTGTGCTATGACTATTAAGATATACCCAGCAGCCATTTGTATAATGCTAAAACCTCTTACATATATTATTAAAAGTAATGCTATCAGCCAGGGCTTGTTTTATGCCACAGAAACTTAAATAATAAAATACAGTGTGGATAAAATCTGCAATAATAGTAACTTAAGCAAAATTAATTTAAGTAACAGATAACATCTGGGGGGAAAATGTAATGGTATATTGGTAAGTTATGCAAAGCTAATTTTATAATAACTACCACATCTGTGGAACTCGTTTATTAGAACGCTCTACCAATCTTCTTTCCTGCCATTATTCTGTTTTAGAAATTTTCCTGTACACTATTTTATTGTCTTTGAGCTGCCTACCTTTGTAAAAAGGTAATTTGCTAGCTCTCAACAACAAGGAAAGCATGTGGGTTTATGTTCAGAAGAACACGGCATTTGTATACTTACCTCTCTTCATGCACACTTGTACTGGAAAGAATTCCAGAGAAAAATGGTGGCATGGGGCTGTGCATTGAAAGTAGTGTTTGAACACCAGCTAGAGTCCTCAGCTGTGACTACCCCGAGGCTTGATGCAACTGGGGCAGGAACGTAAAGGTGATGCCGAATGCTACTTCCCGTGTCGACCTCTGCCGAATGCTGGGGCAGCCTCTGGCCTGCTCTAGTTTGTCCAGCCCAACCAAGGAATTAGTAAGAATATTGCATTTAACTTCTGCTCCCTCCAGTCTCTTTCGGAGCATCCCTTTATCTGCAGCTGACACTGATATGCCCTCTACATTTGTGCCAACCGCCTTACGATTTCTTTATGTTTGAATTCTCATGGACTCGTTGGACCGCAATGTGCAGGAAAATATCGCCAATTAATTTTAAGGCATTATCATCTTGCCAAACTGTTTCTCACATTTCAATAGTTATATTGATTCAAGAGGACACTTTGAGTAATACATCTTTGTCATAGTGAATAATGCTCACGTAATGACAAATCTTCAGGAATTAAAAAAAGGAGGATGAATTTTTTAATGTAGGTCAGTGGAAGTAATTCACCATAAATTTAGTGAGACTTCAGAAACTAGCAACATTTTTTAAAGCCACTGTAACTGTATAAAACTTACCGTGTCTCCTCTGTTTTTAAATAGATTTTACTACAGGGCCGTTGGTGCTATTAAACATGAGGTTTTGTTCAAAGGAAATACAAAGACTTAATTGTATTTTTTAAAGGAAAGTATTGCATCAGAAGGATTCATTTAAATACGTTTGTTGGCTTCGGGCTCTCACCGCAATTCATTCGTTCTAATTTTCCCCTGGACTTGTTAAGGACACAATGTATAGGAAGGAGAAATGCAGAATGGCATTTTTAGGTCACTATATTTGGGCTGTAAACTGTAGTACTGCTCATAAACTTATTATTACTAAACAAAATACTTCATATTCTACACCGAAGTTTCACAGTCTTTTAAAAAAACTTTTGGCTGACTGTTGAGACTATTATGGCTCATTAAAGAGACTGGTTCTGCTGTAATTTAGTTATTTCTTAATGATCCAAGGGTTATTATTAGACGTGGAACAGAGGAGTAAAGAATGGCTCTCTTTAAAAGGACACAGTGAAGTAAAAATATTATTCTAAAACAAAACCTCTGAAAATCTTATCCATGCTACAAAAATGTGTTTGATCAGCCAGGAATTGATTTGAAAAACCCAGTCTAGTTTTTTGACATTATTTCATTTTTTTAAAATTTGGACTGGAGGGAATAAATGAAATCATGATTTAATCTAAATAAAGCAAATATTTGGAGAGAATAGCTAGCTAACTAACCAAAAAATGTTATTTTAAAGAAGCAGGAAGTAATTGTGAATTTTCATACAATTCAGCTAATATTTTTAAGAAGAAAATGTAAAGTAAGAAATCAGAGAAAATGGAAATATTTGTTAAATCAAAAGAGCTCTAGTTTAAAAAAAATTTGAAAACAAAGCTGCTTTTTTGCAGCCACAGTGAGGAGAGTTAACTCTTTCCTGACTGAACCCAGCACATTCTTATTTCAGAAAGGGGATCATTTAGCTCAACCTAAGGCTTTTTCATTTTGATCCAAAACTAAACTTTCTGACTATTCCTTTTGTGAGTCTGTAGGCACTAGCACAGTGCTGTAAAATTTGAGTCACAAGTGATATGGGAAAATGCTTCTATAAAATCTGGTTTTCTCCTCACTTAAATTCTGGAAATCTGTCAGCTTTTTGGGTTCTTATAAACATTTGATAATACTCTCTACCCTGTTTGGCGAGCTGACCATGACAGGGAAACTAGAAGATAATGGCAGAGTCCAAATATAACCTTTGAAAAACATGTAGGACTACAAAAGGTATTTTTACTGCAATAACGTACAATGGCTAGGTCTCACCTTTTATTTTCAATTTTTGTGTCACTTTCCCAAATGTACAGAACCTTTAATAATTTCAGCATGTTTAACTGTAACAAGTAACTAAACAACCCATGTATCAGCCTAGCTATGATTTCAAAGGTATAAGGAAACTAATTTATGGGAGCTGCAATTACCCTGATGTGGATTAATGTAGTTGACTTACACCATCCATGTTTGTAATAGCTGACTCAGAACTGCAACATCTGCCTGGTATTCTCGGTGGGCACTTCCCGTTGTAAAGGCCCCAGACATACCATTTTGGTCTTATACTCTCTTCCTTGCTTATTCAAAAGTGCCTTTTGTCACCCTCTTTGGCATGTACATTGTCATCCCTTTTTTTAAAAAAAAAAAAAGTCAAAACTTTGTCCCTTTAGAGGACTCAGGGATGCCTTCTGCATCGCTCGCAAGAGCCACAGCAAGAACTAAGCACTGCATCCAGCTACTCCAGAGTGGGGGGGAAACCATTTCCTTGTCAGAGCATTCCTGGAGCTGCAGTTCACACGCCAGCAGAATACCAAGGTGGTTCCCACGTTCACAGGAAAGAGAAATGGGAGCAAGTTGACGAAGCAGCAAAACTTGGAGCGATTCTTTTAGTCCCATATTAAAGTATTTTTCTGAAGGCCTTACTGGATGCAGCGTCACTGTGACTTTACTCCAGCTGACTCCTTTGAAAGAATATCCTGGTGGTCAGCTGGGCCTTGTAATTCCAAAATGCAACAGGATCCCTGTCCAGAAGGGACAGATTTGCACTGGGAAGACTGCATGTTACACAAGCTCTGTGTTTTCTAAACTTAATTATCCACGTGAGTAAGAAACTGTAGTGTTATGAAATTATGAAAATCATCTGTTCTTTCCAAGTGTTATAAAGAGGGCCCCTTGAGATGCAACTAGAAATTAAAGCTGATCTATAATCATTGTCAGTATGCTTTCCAGTTCTGAGCACCTGGATAGCAACAAAAAAGGTATTGTTTTTTGTTGTTTGCCAGCCATTTCATTTCCATTTTAAAAAATCTGCAATAAACGTCTCAGCAATAATTAAACCTGAATTACTTTTTTTTTTTTTCTTTCTGCCACTGTGAGACTGAACTTGGCCAACCTGCAGGTCCTGCCCTCCCTGCTCTGCTGGAAGAAGGCATACCTTCAGATAGCTATTCGTCATTCCTATCACCAATAGCTGCAGAGACAGAATCTGAGGTATTTGTTCCCTTTTTTTTTCATTGTTATTTTTCTATGCGTCTCCTACCTCATTTATTCCCATTGGAGCCCAGTCACTAATGATATTCGTTCGCCAGCATGTAGCATGGATTCTCTTCTAAGATTGCATGAAGTTGCTTGCAATACATTAATCAGTCAGCAGACATTTGTGCAGCCCCTCTAGCCCTCTCCCCGTGCACCGTCATAACCTCAGGATCTGCCTGGCCTAGGCCATGAGAGAGAGACACTGCCAGAGCGGGATTTCCCAAAACCAGGCTTCGTGTACTGCTGCGTGTCTTTGGGCTGACGCTGTTTGGTCTTGCAGAGAGCAGGAGGGTGTTCTAACTCACCTATTTGTTGTGGTCGGTTGCTGCTAGGGGTCTGCTCAAGAGGGTTACCTGGAGGAGCCCTGCCCTGAGGGAGAGTCTTGTGAGGCAGATGCTGTGGCTGGTGTCACTGCTGAAGATCAGGAGTCTGCAGCAAGTGAAATCCCAAATGAAATTATTGGCAACCTGGAGGTACTATTACTAGAAAGCTATTCACTAATTCTGTCTATGGTTAATTAGCTGGCTCAGCCTTAATGAATATAAACTGTATTCATGCTAAAGCTGGCAAAAAGCACATCCATATGCTGTAAAAATGTGAATTAGCCTCTATAAATAACTCCTAGTTTAGTCAGCTTACATGTGATAAGATAAAAAATATTCGGTAATATAACAACATACATCTTCAGTGTTACTATGTGTTAAGAAACATGGGCCAGATCCTGCTCTCAGTGATGTCAGTGATAACGTTCCTTTTCAGGGGTTCAGGACCAGCTTCTGTGACGGAGCGTATGCGACGTGTCCGTAATATAAGTTTTCAGACGCATCTGTGTTACACATCCTTTGATCTGTGTAAGAATTAACACATTTTTACCAATTCTAGGCTTCATTTGGTAGGTGCGTGACTATACAAGAGCTGCCTTAATGGAATAGGTCAGGTTTCAGTATGCGATCTGCAGACTCTGAGGAGTCCGTGAGTTCTTTCTGTGGGATTCATGAAAGGGAAGGAAGCTGTTGTCAGTGGACTTAAATTTGTGGTAGGGTGTTCTGCATCTCTACGGGGAGGTCTGTGCATTGAAACATGTGGAAAGCCAGCTGAGTAGATCATTGTGATTTTGTAAACTGCTCCCCCAAGCATACGAAATGATTGAAAGCAAACCAGCCAGAACTCAGTTCTACCAAGGAACTGGTGGAATTTCATCTTCTCTGCCACAATGAGGTGGCATTAGGCACTTTAAACTTTAGATACAGCACATTGCACGCTGTTGACCAAGCAGCAGTTTATTAAATATCTAATATGATCTGAAAATAGTGTGATAATGATAAATTGCTTTACATGGATTATTGTATGAATGGGGAATACAAATTAGAATAATGATGCCACCATTAGATCTACCTATTTGATGTCACATGCCATTACAACATGTCTTTAGAAACAGGAGGGGACCTGGCCCATGTTGTCTTACTCCTCTCCCTTCTTACAGAATAAATTAAATGCCTGGTTTTCACTTGACCTTGATTTCATTAGCATCAGTGCTATGAGATTGTTTTCTTTACAAAAACGGCACAGATAAGAAAAATGAGAATATTGTCGTCTTTTGCAATCCTGGTTAATATGCACAGAAAATAATTTCCTTTTAGTTTTTAGAAGTCCTCCACCAATGTATCTTTTCCACCTGGTTTCTCGGTTTCTTGACCTCTGATTAGCTTGAAAGATTAGTGTTCCACCCCAAAGCAAGTAGGTATATCTATAATTTAAAGGCATAGAACGTATCTGTTGATACTTGAGGATGGATTGACTATGATGAAGGTGGTGAAGGCCATCTCCGAAGATACAAAGTTGAGATGGAAATTCCAGCTTTTTGATGCTAATCTAAGATACTGAGTACTTTGAAAACATTTAAGCTATGGTTATTCATTGATAGGTTGCAGCATAGCACTAGTAGGGATTTCTAGAACTGGCAAGCCAAAAAGTTCCTGAAATTACAAGTTACTGCAACATTTACTGGGCCAAATCCATCCCCTTTACCAAAATTACATGTAGTCCATTAAGAATGTAACTCTGTGTTTTGGAACAATTTCTGTGGGGTCTGTAAAGGACCTTTGAGCCTGTACCAGTTGTTTGAACAAAACTTTGTGACTCTTGGGAAGACTGTCATTGTACTCCTTCCATTTCTCATGTATTTTTGTAGTGATTAATGCTGATATTGGGAATTTCTGTATATTTCTCAGTAAAACCCCAGTAGTTGTTGACTTTTTCCCAGCAATCCCACATGTCCAAATGCTATGGAATTAAAGATTGCTACGCATTATCCCTGCCAAAGATTTCACTAAAATGCATCACAACCCTTGTACCTTCTCCACAAATGTTCCATTGTAAATTAAACACTCGATGTCTACAGCAGTCTGGATTTCCAGAATGAGATGCACGTTCATAATTGTGTTTGTAATTAAGAAAGACAAGCAACATCACAGAAATATGGTTTTTTTATTGTTCATTTTCAGTAATGCTTTCTAATTCCAGCCATGTTTCAATAAAATGTATTACACTAGAGAACAAACATCTGCAGCGAAGGAAAACAGTGGCAACAACCAAATCCCAAAGCAATTTTTCTGATTTGGTGTTTATTGGTAAAGCCTGTCTGAGAATACAGGCAGATTAGCCTATCTCCCAAGGCAAGGTTACGTGAGAAATGGCTGTCCCAGATCACTTCCTGTTCGTGGCAGTCGTACCATACATCGGAGTCGTGCGCCGTAATACGATAAAGTGTTATCACCTAAGTACAGGCTGAAACACCGTTATGTCTGCAAAACAGGAAGGTGTGTAGGATAATGTCTGTCTTACTGCACTACAGTGTGTCAAAACCACAAGGACAATGTGCAGCCTTAGATAGTTCCATCATAACTGCTTTTTTTCTTCTGATTTTCTTTACAGGCAGAGATAAATGAAAGGCTGCAAATGCAAGAAGAAGCTTACACTTTGAGAACAGAGAAATTAAAAAGTCCTAAATAGCCAGATAAGAAAGGAGATGTTGAATTTTACAGAAATTGGACAGTAGGGGATGGCGCACACAGAAGACTGGCTCCCTGCCGGAACGTAATTATTTTTGTATAAAGGAAAATGGTTCTGTTAACATTTACCTAGAAATAGTTCATCCCAGTTCCTGAAATTTACCGTGCTCTGCCAATGTTGTTATTTAGTTTAGACTTAAGGAGAAGATTATAAACAGAAGGATACGTAATTAAAACATGTTGAAGTTCAGTTTATTTCTGAATAGAAATCCTTATTCAAAAAAAAAAAACCAAACAACCAAACCCAAAACTCTCTAGTTTCATTCTCTTTCCTTTTCCAGTTCTGACATATTTAACAGTTTCTGCTTTACACCTATGGGTTTTTTTTTCCCAGAAATTTTGCTAGAAGGAGAATACATAGCGACAAAACATCTTTTTGAGGCACTGCAGATATAATAAGGAGACAATTTAATTAACATGTAATTACACACTTTCACTGGAGTTATTCATTAATAATATGTATAGTATTTCAATTTAAATTGCTTTCTAAGCTTTAAAACTAATTTAGTATCTTACACTGCTTTATTTCCACAATATTAAAATTGCATAAATGAAGAGTTTGCATTTTGCAGTATTCCCAAGAAGAGTTCCTTTTGATTTCAGTGGAAATGTTTCTGGAATGTACGTAACCTTTCATCTGAGAATGTTTCCATATTTTGTCAGGCATTACAGAAATGTTTTGAACTCAAAAGAAGCCTAACCAAATAAATGACCTCAGAAGAACCGGTTTGACATCTATGTTTCAAAACTGTGGCCTGTACTAATTGTTGTGTTAGGGAACTCTGTGCCCTAGAAAGCATGTTGACTGCAAGTCGCGCTTTCAAGCGTGAAGGCTGGATTGGATTACATGTTTAGGGGAGTGTTTGAGAAACAGAATGTTTTATTCATTACAATTTCATATTTGTTTCCTATTAAGTAAAAGGTTAGTTTTTGTTTCATTTCATCCCCATTTTTTATGGGGATAATGAAAAAAGTTTGCAAGCCTGACTCAGCCCAGTCAAAAAAAAAAAAAAAGAAAATAGCCTGAAATAGTTTTCCTCAAAGGTCTCGTTTGGCCCTGCCTGACTTGGCGGGCGTGCTCCGGGCTGGGGCTGGGAGCTGCGCGCACGGGCAGGAGGGGGCATTGCCTGCACGCCCTTCTGCAGGGAGCGCTCCCCCGGCTACACGCTACGCCCGGTCGCTGAGGCTGGGTGGCAGTAGGCTGGATGTGCTCTTTCGAGGGCATGTCAGGGGTGGGCACCGAGCCCTTTTTTTGGGTGTAGGTGGGCAGGGAATTTACGCGGTCTCCCACGTCGAGAAAAACTCCTCCCCTGGTACGTGATCAGGAGAAGTAAGCTCTGTAACGATTCGCTTCCAAGTTCTCCCAATTGCTCTTTCCAGTGCTGGCCAGCAAATTAGGGAGAGCTTCCTTTCAGCTATTAAAAGCTAAATGTTCTGCTTTGAAGACTGAAGGAATTTATGAGGAATTACTAGTTTTACCTTTAAAAAATATTTTGAAAATCTTTTAATCTTTTTAAATTGTTTAAGATCCCTGGTTATGTTCTTTGCTGGTTTATTGCTTTGAAATATGAATATTTTTTTTTGTTATCAAAACTTTCTGAAATGAAAATGTCCTTTATTTTGATACATAGATTCATCTCCCAACACATTATGCTAATGTCACAAGTTTCCCTGCTTTTGAACTCAAAGGTGAGAACAGAACTTCTGAAGCGAGCTGTCCGTATGAAAAAAGAGTATTTTAAATACTTCTTAGTGAAAATGTGCTATTGGCAATTTAGCATTGTTTAGCACTTCAGACTTAGATCTGAAGACTACAACATTCCTTCCTATAGCGCTAAGCAGAAAGGGACTAACTATGATTTATGTTAAGACCAATGCTAAACAAAGGCTTTTGCCCATATCTCTTTCTCCCTCTCCCAGATTTTGTAGAACCTCTGGGAAATTTTAAAGTGCTTTGAAGATGAGAAATTGTATATGAACGTCAAGTATTACTGCAATGATTTGTTAGCATTCAGTCTTAGTACATATGCATAACAGCTGAGGTATTGCAGAAATCCAACGTGACGTTCCAATCCCACAAATTTGAACTAAATAATGCTACCAATAAAAATAGCCCCAGGGATTTTGGGGGAGTAGGAGGGAGGATGGTTAGGAGGCTGAAGGGGGGACGTTGAGTAAAAGGTAGACATAACATCTCTCTAAGCAGTCAGAGTGCGTGTTCTGACACAGCATATGAACATCAAATTGAAGAATCCTTTAATGTCTTCAGAATGTTAATATGAAATGCGAAACGTCATCCTTTGGATAGATGGGTAGGAACACAATGTTCAGATGCAATATGGTGCATTAAGAACAGTCTCCATTCTGCATTCCTGGCTTTTGCATTGGTTTAAATCAGGCTCGCTGCTTCTCAGGTCTCTCGTGTCATGCTGAGTTACTGCTGTAGTCATCTCTAAAAATAATTACACTGTCGTTCCTGGGACCTACAGTTTGCTATAACTATCTTTGATTATTCTTTTTGCAACACTGTTGATGTAACACAGTTCTTTACAGCACACGTGCTTAACATAGTTCCTAACGTGTTCCCACCCTACAAAGCTTTCGATTTAAATCAGATCTGTAGAAAGGAGGGAAGGAAAGAGGTGTTATGATCTACCTTCCCTGCCAGAGAAGGGGTGGTTTTCCAGGGGACAGTGGGCAGATGAAACTGTAGTTTTTTCTGTATAACATGTAATATTGATGCTTTTTAGCATCTTCATATCTTCACTAGGATTTTATAATGAATCACTGAACAATTGGTAATTATCCTCTAGCAAAAGAAAAGCGCCATTTGCAGGCAGTGCTTTCCTGCATTATACTGACAGTGATGGAAGTTTAGAAGAGATGGAAAGCAGTTTTTCTAGTAAGAAGCTGGCATGAAAAAGATGGGAAAGGAGACAAAAAGAGAAAACAGTTTTTTACCTGTTTCATAGTTGTTTGCCATGACCTTTTCTTCTCAAGCCTTGCTTCTTTTCTTCTGCAGCAAAGCTTGATTTGAATTTGAAAATTACCACGTTGTTTCCTTCCTAAAATTGTAACTGGCATTCCTAGAAAACTTGCTTTCCCAGAAAAGCCATGGTGCGTAGGCTTCAAATTCAGCTTTTCACAAGTGAGAAAAAGACGTTTTCTTCAGTAGCCCACACTGCTGACCTGACCGCAGAGCATGTACGCTGGTCCACTGGCATCGGACTCTTTGGCACATGATTCAGTTGTCCACCAAAACGCATTTATCCAGGAGTACGTATCGTACTTATTTGAACAGGCACCAGAGCGTGGGTTTGATCCTGAGCTAACCCAGCAGCCCCTAGAAGAGGACTTTAACATGGGTTACGTACATGGCAATGCTGGTAAAGAATCCATTCACCTATAGATTTACTGGGGTGTGAAAGGGATGTTTATACTCCTAGTAGCTCCAGTCAGCGTGGCACATAGTGCAGCAGCAAGCGATACTGCAGGTAACTGGACAACCTTCTTTCCCCTCCCTCCTCACTCATTTTAGGATGGTGTTAGACCCGCTCCTGCTACAACATGCAACCACGTAGTCCTCCTGTATGCTGGCAGCCTGGGGAGGGGTTGTGTTCAAGGTGACACCACCTCCGCTTCTCTGCCATGGTTCACAAGGAAGCGACAGCAGTGACAAAGCACGCGGGCAGCGTTGCTTGCCATGGGCAACTCAGAGCTGAATGTAACATTTCAGCCCGTTTTGTTGTGGCACTTGGAGTGTGCGGAGCGAGCTGCGGGCGGCAGCACTTGTGGATTCACATTGCGCGTACGTGACAAAAAAAGGAAAAAAAGAAATCAAAGGATAGTTGCAGCGACTCATGTAATTGAGAGCCTCTTTCAGATGCAGAGCATTAAGCAGAACTTAGAATTAGTAATACTGCAGAAAGAACAGAATGTGAAATATTTCCTAGGTTGAAACAACCTGACTTCTTGCGTAGCCGACTTAGTAGCCCACCGCTTCAAAGCTTGCACTGTCACAACAAAGACAGCATTAAGCACGAGGTTCGTGCGCGTGTAGAACTCTGCACTCCGTGTTGCTCCGGCCTGCTGGCAGTTATATGTATTCTCTATATTTATGCATCTGGTTCAAAGAACAAAAACAGCCAAGGTGAGTTGCTACAAGCGCCCTGGCCAGGTGGGGTAGGGGGAGCAAGGGGGGAGAACTCTGGCCTGACAGAAGGAGATGGTTTTGAGGCCATGAGGAAAAATGGTCCACAAAAGTTATCCACCTAAAACTATATGGTCCTCCTCTGTTCCTGGAAAAAAGGCTACTGGAGCTGTGTCAGTCTGAGTTGCTGATGTGGAGGGGGATTCATGGTGAGAGCCTCTGCAGGGTTCTCCAAAGCACCTTCTAGATGAGCCTGTTCTTCCGGTGACTGCAAAGAAGGCCTCAGGATTTTGCCTCCCTCCACCGAGGTTAGTCTGTGTGAATATTTCTAAGTTTTCATTTAGCCCTTTTTAACTCTTTCTGAAGATGTCTCATACAACACTTTTTAAAAATTTGAATATTGTATCTTTTAACCTCCAGCCAATGCAGTTTTCTTGTCTAAACAGGGTTGGTTGTTGTGTTGGGGTTTTTTTGTTTGTTTGTTGTTGTTTGGGTGTTGGGGTTTTTTTTATGATTGCATTGATTATGGTGCAAGAAATGTCATGTCTGAACAGAGCAGGATCCAAGTGTCCCAGGGTCCATCCTTTGGCCCTGGCTATGGGATGTGCTTAGGGAGGAGTATAGGAACTGGGCACCCGGAAAGTGACCCACCAGGTGAAGGCATACCCTCCCATCGACTGGTGCTTGAGAAACGTGTGGACCAAAACTATGCACCCAGAGCCAACAGGAGTTTGAAATCACAGGACATCTCCTCCATGAACGCATCTAGTCCTTGTTTGAGCTCAGCTGTA